GAAGAAGGTTCGGAGCTTGCGTCTGCAGCGCTTCGTTTGGGCGTGAAGGGTAAGGATCCTGACCATACTCTTAGCCAGAGCGTTCACGGTCATGGAGGATGTAATTGAGCCACAGCGCATGCACCGACGGCCATTCCGTTTTGGGTGTGGTGTTTTGTTGAGCATGCAATTGCACAACAAGCAACTGGACTCTTCCGTGAACAACACAGGCCTGACAAACAACTCTTTTCTGGAACGTGCTGAAACCTGAAGCGTGCGCTACCGCTTTTTTTGGCTGCCGTGGGAATGAAGTCGTAAAGGCTTTCAAATCAAATTGGGGCATTGTTCCCTGAACATCCTGAGAATCTCGATCTGTCAATCTACGCTCAACTGCTCCGGTAAACCCGAAATGGGGGTTTACGATAATAGGGGACCCCAAACATAGATTCCGAAACTTGTAGGATCCACTTGTAGAACGGACCCCGATAAGGTGCCCCTGAATTTCGCAAACCCCCTTAGATTGCAAAGGCAACCCCGTGCATCCATACAACCGCGGCCTTTGTCACCTCCGGCTATCCGCCTGGCACGCTGCCTGCCGCGACTTCGACCTGGCGGTGCCCTGGGAAATGTTTGGAATGTACTCGGCATGTGGGGGTTTGCGAAGCTAAGGGACCCGGGGACACTTAACACAGACCCCCAAAACGTGGGATCCTCTTTTAGTATAATCAAGATCCCAATAAGGTAGCCCGAATTTCGGAACCCCCATGAAGGTTGATCGCTTAGCCTGTGACGGGCTCCACGAATTTTGGCGTTTCCTAGGGTTTGAACTAGTTTGTGGTCGAATATTCAGGTTTTATGCGATTTGAGATGTGCCGTCCTTCTGCTTCAAGACTCAAAGACATCTACCGGTCTCGATATGGACTTGCGGATGGGCCGCAAGATTTGAGAACTGAATAAGCTGTGAACCCCACGAGTCGTACAGCGTCTTGTTTGCTACTTTTGTAGGCTTTGAGCTTTTCAGAATCAAACATTGCCCTGGACATATTCAGTGCGTACGCTTTGCCTAAAGTCTTCAGTTGGTGATTTATGTATACGTCATACGTCTGTTTTATGTGGGTAGTTTGATTGAAGATAGAGCTCTTGTACGCGAGATGGATGACAAGGGGGCCAAAAAGGATCAGGTAATCACGCTCTTTGCAAAGTAGTTATGTGCGTGCAACAGTTTGGGTGGTTCCACATCGAGTGCCATCGATCTCCGAAGCCAAGAAACCTGTTGTCAAAAGCGAAACTTTGAATGCAACAGATGATGACCCCTGCACGTGGCAAGTAACTTTTCCTTAGCTCATTGTGACCCAATGTGCTTAGGTGAGCTGGTGCTTCGGCCGGGAAAATGCTCCTCCCCTGTTGCTGTGCAAGCCTCAGGAGGTTTGGTATTGGAGTTGTTCACATACTTATGCCAGAAGCTCGCCAGCTGATAATGATGCGGCTTTGAATGCGGCCTTATCGCTCAGGATAATCTCTGCCACAACTGGTGAGAATAGCATTGCATTCTCCCTAATTAAGTACATCTGCAACATCCTCTTCATTGAGACACCCCTCCCCTCCCTCCCCCAGGCCCAAGATATTTGAGGCTTTCGCGCCGCGCGCTGGCTGGCGCCATGGTGCCCGAAAGACAGGCACTTTTGTGCTGCTCTTGGTGATGTTGGTGGTGGCTCTTGCGTGAGAAATTAAGCAAAGCAAAGCAAAGCCAGAACGAGAGCGAGAGCGAGAGCCAGAGCGAGCCGGCTTCTCTTGTCGGAGGGGGGGGCTCTCTCAAGCTCAAGCGTGCAGAGGAGGAAGAAGAAGAAGAAAAATCAAAAATGCAATAGAACATATGAAGAAAAACAGATGGAGGAGGAAAGCAAGAAGACATTAAAGGAAAAGAGAGAGAGATAGAAAAAGCCAAGTGAAGCCCCGAAAAAGAAAATCAACTAGTGAGTGTTTCGGGACGTGCGTGAGTGATAGCACGGACCATGGTATCCGACCAAGAGCGCTGCTTCCCAGCACATGAGTGCCAAGGTAGCCCCACAATGTCGGCTTCCAACCCATCAATGTCCTTCTTATCTGAGCGAAAAGCTTAACACGTCCTTTGGCTCTTTTGGGTTTCGAGCTTTTCTGTTGCAAACTGCACTTGTCGTCTTTTTGGTTGCTGTTTCGTGTTACTATTTGCCTTTCTGAGTCCACGCGCTGCCGGGTTTCTGTCTTCATTCGCCTGTTTGGTGTCTTTATTCGTTTGTGTGTTGCCTTGTGTTGGGCTGTCTCGCCGGAAGTGTTTGCTTAACGCAGGGAGGTCGCGGGTGGGGGGGGGCCGCGGGTCTCCGGGCCGTGGTCCGAATTCCTGAAGTGCCCCCCCCACTGACAGAGAAGTGTGCAGGCAGAAGTGTGGGCCGACTTTGAGCTAGTGAGGCAAGACCGGCTGTGTGGAGATTCAACTTTCACGCAGGGTTTGCTGGAGTATAACGGGCTGTGGCAGGGTACGCCTGAGGAGTATGGCAGGTAGGGCTCTTGTGAGGCAGCTCGCAACCAGCTGGGTACTCGGGGGAGGGGTTGAGGTTGAAGAGTGGGGTGCTGCAGGCAGAAGATGCCGAGAATATGAGCAGCCTCTTAATGGGAGTTCATATATATAAAGAGCATGATTTGAAGTCTGCTGCGTAGGCAGATTCTATGCGGGGCGTAGGTTCACGTAGGCAGACTATACATCAGCCATGGCCGCGCTACCCCGCGAAGGTTCTGCTGAAGTTAAGGTTTGGGGTGGGATCGTAGCCCCGTGTAGGCCAGCCTGCGTAGAAGGCCGACAAAGAAACGACGCCAACCCAAACAGAAACAACCACCTCGCACAAACCCGCGTCAAAACACACACGCACACAGACAGAGACACTGGTTTCAGCGTACGGCTGGGTTTGATGGTGCTGGGTGTGCTTAGGTCTCATGTCCCCTACTTACTTTCCCCTAAACCCTAAACCCTAAACCCTAAACCCTAAACCCTAAACCCTAAACCCTATGCATCCCAGACCGTAAGCAACGCCTCTGAGCTCCAAGCCCTGACAGCGCAACGCGTTGAGACTCCCCAGAGTCGAACCGTTTCCTCTTACCCCAATCCCCAACACCGCAACCTTCCCTATACATATACATATATATATACATATTATATATATATATGTATTATTATTATTGTTATTATTATTATGTATACATATATATATATGTATATGTGGAGCCTCCTGATCTTGCAGGCGGAGGATTGCCAACCCGGAGGCATCCATTCGGTCGATCCAGCGGGAGCTTTCCCTTGACACGGTCTGCTCCTTCGCCCCTTGGACCCTTCACACGGATTTTGGGGCTTGGCCCGGCTTGCAAGCTTGCCGATGTTTACCCGGTTTTCAGCCGCTCCATCCTGCTAGAGAGTGCTATGTATGATATGCTTCAAGATGTGTCGCGTGTCACAGAACAAGATACCCAGGCTGAATACCGGCGCCTCGTTGCAGAGCCTCAGCCGTCGGATGCACCGCATCGGCATTGGGCCGCCGGAATTCTGGCCGCTTGCCCCGCAGGGTCTTTGGGCAACTTTGCGATCTTCTGATGTCTTCTGGGTCTGCTCTTAACAGCCAGAGCCGCCCCCTTTAGACTTCTTTGAGAATCCGTGCAGCTAGCAACCATTTGATTCAATGGTCTTGTGTGCCAGGCGTGCTTCAAGATATCAAGTCGCTGGGGTTTACCCGCTGAAGTCTCTATTGTTTTCGAACGCGCCTTTCCTTTCCACACTAGTCCACTAATTCGCAATCTTCAACTGCAAGACAAAGTCGCGCCCAACAGCCTTGTAAGTCCTGTGCTTGAAGCGCCCGACATTACCCACGTTCTTCACTTGCCAAAACAAGCATGTGCGGTTCAGACGCACTGCTTAGTCTCTGAACCTGAGGCACGAACCTTCCAGCAGCGTGTGGCGACGAGTCGCCTCACCAAGGCTACTTTGCTGTGAATGCCGAGCACGAATCAGAATAAGGCATCATCTCGGCGTTGAAGCCCATCTAACCAAAACGAGCAGACTTAGGCGACTTTGATAGTGCATGGGGTGCAATGGCAAGCAGGTCGACCCGGGGAAATGCGGCGGAGTGCTCCAAGTCGGCAGGAGGTCGTTCAAGTGAGTAGCAAAGGCGCCTGAAAGCCGGCACAAACTAGGAGCTGCCAACGATGGTGTGCCGGGAAAGCCAGCTCTGTCTACTTTTCACTTCGGCCGTTGGCTGACTCTAGTGAGCAGTGAGCTAGGGACGACCATCCGGCTTTGGTTTGCTCGTGGCTGTGTCGGGCGTGGCTTCTATGCGGACACTGCTACGCATGCGCAAGCAAGAAGCCGACTTTGACGTGTCGTTGCCCTGAATGGGCAAGATCGGCATCATGACTGAGCTGTGCTTTGCAATTGGCGATTGGCCAAGCTGAGAGGACAAAGCCCTTAGCCCGCAAACATTGGCAGTTGCGAAAGACAGTTCGCGAAAGACAAGGCCAAACCAGCTGCGGCAACAATCTCGGCCCTCATGGCGTCGAGTGAGCTCAGGTTTGGGCATGCGCAGCATTGTCCAATCAAGGGTGGTTCCAGTGTTGGCGATACGACAGCCTGCAATGCCTTTGATCTCTCACTACTTAGTCATTACTTTCCGCGACATGCGTTGGCCCAAATGCAGGCTTTTCGCGTATGCCGACAGCTTCGGTGGGAAACTCTAGACGTCGCAAGATGTCGCAAGAACGAACCGAAATCCAATCCACGTTTAGCTCGGCTAAAGGGTGTAAACGTTGCCCTGCTTGTTTCTGTGGGCGCATTAACCTCTCATGCTGAACTGTCGCCAACAGCTCAAAATGTCTCCATGCAACATTCTCTAGACTGAACATGTCTTTCCTCGTCACGGACTGACCTTGACAGCTTCAGTCAGGCCCATGCCACGTCCGACGCTTCACAATCTAACCCTCGGAATTTGCAGAGTGCTGCACAGGTTGAGGTCGACTCCCTGATGTCTCTGCTGCGGAATTTGCCCGGCCTCGGCTCCTTGAAGCCGCATGGCTGCGCTTCAGGATTTCAGGGTGGTTCTATCGCGAGGCTGTAGGGTTGTCTTCCTACTTGCTGAACACCCGGAAGCCTCCCATTCATGAACGAGGCATAGGCTCTCTTCACCCTTTCTGGGGCTTGTCTTTGCGAAGCCTTGAGACCATCGTAGGCTGGGTCTGAGACCCTAGTCCCGAACCTTGAAGCCCGAGGCCAAAGTAATCCCGCCTTGCACGGTGCAGAGCATGCCTGAAGGTTTTGTTTGATTACGCGGCATTGTGGTTGGGTTCGGGTGTAGCCGCATCGCAGCTTGCAGAGTTCTCAGCATGGGCGCCGCATGTCGTTCGTATCCGCGATGCCGATGCTGGGATGAGTAGGGGCCCTAAACCCTAAACCCTAAACCCTAAACCCTAAACCGGCAACTCACTACTCCCATGACCCCTTGCCGAGCTGAGACCCAGACTTGGGTCCCTTGATCCCCTTGGTTCTTATAGTAGAGGGAGTAGAGTGAATGAGGGTCCTAGATATACCCTTTAAGTAAGGGATTCTGTAGGGTACCTCATTCCCTCATTCCCTACTCAGAACCAGTGATCTCAAGCCAAGAGATGCCGTGAAGGCCCTCATCCTTGCTGCGATGTCTGCCAGAGATCTCGGTCCACTTCGTGCCGCCAGGCGAGTTTAGGGTTTAGGGTTTAGGGTTTAGGGTTTAGCGTGTATGGTTTAGGGTTTAGGGTTGAGACATGTCAAGCAAGTAGAATTGTATAGGGCTTTCGGCAAGCCGAAATCCGATATGGACTGCGGCCGAGATCCTGTGCTGCAGTGCTGCGCAGTTCTCTTACGCACCCTGCACCTGAGGTCTCTCATTTTGCTCGGCACCCGAAGTCTTCCAACCGCGCTAAGCTAGGAAGTGCATGAGCTCCTCCATCCAACCCAGGGAGCTCGGGAAGCTTGAAGCGCTTATAATGGGCATAGAAGCGGGCTTTTGCACCCTACTCTTCCTTAGCTCGTCCTTGGGGACCAAATGAACCCTAAAATTGGGGTCATATACCCATTACTACTATAATTCCTATTAAAGTATATGAACCATAAGTTCATTTCGTCCCCAAGGGTTCTTGCCTTGCAAAACGCTGCTGCCCACAGCCATGCAGGACAGCCGCTCCTGCCGTCGCCGTTCTGGTTTTTCATTCTGGACGGGTGCCTGGCATGATCACCCATGACTGCCTGTTTTTCCTTGTTTGGCATGTGGGGCTTTCCGAAATGAGGGGTACCTTAGGGGGGTCCTTATTATTATGATTATAAGGGGGTCCTACTATTTGGGGATCTATATTGGGGTCCCCTATGTTCGTAAACCCCCATGTTGCTTCTCGTCAAGGTCCTTGGCATCTGCTTCGTCAGGTCACTTCCAACCCAAAAGCCCTGCTCCCACGCAGTATGTAAACCTCTTGGATGGTCTTGCTTAAGGGCTGCCCAAAGCTCCCCGAGTGGCAGCCTGAGGTTTCGTAAATGATCATGCACTCATAAATAGTACCCCAAGAAAAACCCTAAACCCTAAACCCTAGTTAATGTCACAAGAAACGGCTCAACTTGTCAACGCCCGACTCTCGAGTTCACAGGTTCAAGCCAGACCCAGCAGCCCTGTTGTTCCATCTTCAAGTGCCTTCAGCGCCAGCATCCAAACCTTGGGGGCCAAATGAACCCTAAAATTGGGGTCATATACCCATTACTACTATAATTCCTATTTAAGGTATATGAACCATGAACCCTTTTAGGGTTCATTTCGTCCCCAAGGAAGTCGCTGGTCAACACGCTTTTTACACGAGGCCTCATATCTTTCAACTCCTGGCCCCAACTCTGGCGAACAAAGCCCGAGAGCAAAAGCTCTGAGAAAGTCACCGAAGCAACATCAGCCTTGGACCCTGTGAATAGCCTTATAAAATAGTTAGAATAGGGCTTTCTGGGGGGTTTCTTGTAGTATATGATAGTTTGTATAGGGTTCCCCTGCGGTACTTCAAGGTCCTTCGACATCATCCGCTTCGTCCCTGCTGAGCCGGCAATGGACATCAAGGGTGCGGACGACGCCCTGGGCATGCCTGACTGTCTCAGAGCCACTTGGATTTGCCGCGGGGGGCGAGAGAGAGATGCGAGTGGCCCTAGGGTTTAGGGTTTAGGGTTTAGGGCTTAGGGCTTAGGGCTTAGGGCTTAGGGTTTAGGGTTTAGGGTTAACCCTAAACCTTCATTCTTAGGCTCAGGGCCATTGGAAGGAGCCAAACCTCCGAACATCGCCAAAAGCAACCCCCGAAAAGGCTCCACCAGCCATGCAACGACTCGGCCAACGCCCGTCACAGACGAGCTTCTGGGGCAGCTGAGCTGCATGAAGGGTTTAGGGTTTAGGGTTTAGGGTTTAGGGTTTAGTGTTTAGGGTTTAGGGTTTAGGGTTTAGGGTTTTGCGAGGGTTTTGGGGGTTGGCTGCAATTCGGACATGGTGCAAAGAACCACTATGACTTAAGCACAATAAGCAACGACAATGTGTAATCTATGGATCATCATCAATCAGTAGTAAGTAGCTGGTAAGTAAGCAATAGTTTGCTTAGAAATAATCGTGCATAACTTATGACAAGTAACTAACAGTTCTGAGATGATTCATTCGAAGAATTGACAACTTCGGGGTGTACGCCCTTACCTATGAACCGATACTTTCATGTTACATAAATAGTTCGGGGGGGAAGGAGCGCAGGGGGGAAGGGCGGGGGGGGGAGGGAGCACTGGGGGTCTCGCAACATGAGTGTCCCATTTCACATTTTGGTGTGTTCCAGGTGCCCGGAAGCTGAGCTTGGCCCAATTTAGGCTGAGTTCAAGTTAACCCTAAGCCTCTAAACCCTAAACCCTAAACCCTAAACCTGAAAAGCGGGCCATGGTGGCATCTGAGTGCGTGGTGCGACCTCCCTGGGACCGGGACAAAGCCCAACGCGGTCGCTCCCCTGTCAACACGAACCACCTGCAAGCAGCACGCTTTAGTAGATTCTTAGTAGCGTGTCAATATATCCAAGAGTAGCAGCTGCTTGGCTGCTAATTCTAGGGTCGACCTTGGAACACAGGGAACACAAAAGAACACAATGTCAGTTTACGACGTAGGCACCACCATCATGAGAAAATGATCCATCAAATCCTTGAGTTGATCCTGCTCACAATGCGCAATCCAAATGATCCAAGTCATCATGGAACTGGCGCATGCCTAAATCCTGGAAGACGTCCAAAAACACATAATAGACATGTTACATACATATATATATATATATATATATCTGTGTACAATATAAAAATAAAAAATTATAGAGAGAGAGAGAGAGATGGTTTTCCAATCCGCACCACTCCAACAGAAGTTATAACCTTGGGGTCTGAAGCGCAAGGCCTCACAGCGCCCGGCCCGGATCGGGATGGCAGCTTGGCTTGCATCTCTACCTGGGGCCCTCAGGGTTTGGGGTTTGGGGTCTAGGGTTTACAGTTTTATGGGTCGTACCTACTAATTGAGGGTAATTGCTAGTCAACTGTAGGTAAACCGAGTCACAGGTAAGCCTCTCTACGTCAAGAACGCAGGGACGCGAGCGTTGAGGGGGTTTTTCTCCAGCTGCAGGTTTTTGCGTCCGTGGTTCGTCGCAAGACCCCCTCACGCGAATGGCGTGCGCGTTGGGCGTTCGTCGCGCACGGAAACATGATCCCATTTTGTCTCGGCTTATGTAGAAGGCACGTGCAGGTGCAGAGATTTTGTACTCACGGCAACTCCGAAACACCTGGAGGGCCGCGAAGCCGCCAGGAATGGTAGATGCGGTCTCAATCTTTGAGATCCATAGTGAAATTAAACTCAGGCGCGTGGACTTCTCAAGCCTTCTAAGCCTTTTCCGGACTTTTCGCTTCCTCGCAACCATTTTAAGAGTGCTCCTAAACCCTGAACCCTAAACCCTAAACCCTATACCCTAAACCCTAAACCCTAAACCCTAAACCTTAGGTTGGCTCCTTGCTGCTGGCAAGGGCGTCACAGTCGCGCGACTGCCTGCCGAGTGTCTGAAGCAGCTGAGCCGAGGTCCAACCTGAATCAGGATCACGTTGAAGGCTTTCAGGACAAAGGAAGCACACCAGAGCGTAGTGTCAGCAATGACCATTCAGATTTGAGGAACATTGCAAAATGACAGTCTCTGGGTTGGACAAACTGAAGGACCTTCTTCGTGTTCAGGTCTCTTTTCAGGGACATCCTTTTCGGAAGAAAGCTGGCTCGGCTCCAGGCAGAAGTTGGCTGCGATGCGGGAAGGAAACAAAAAGCTTTAAGCACGCCCAGGGTTTAGGGTTTAGGGTTTAGGGTTTAGGATTTAGGGTTTAGGGTTTAGGGTATAGGGTTTAGGGTTTAGAGTGCTGTGAGCTCAGCTCGACCCCAGCACCACAATATTCCTTCGATGTCTCAATGTGCTGGCTCATGGGAGTCTGGTGAATGGGCCGGTAAGGGAGGATCAATGGACAACTTCGGGTCTGTGGGTCTAAGGGATGAGGTCTCCTTCAAGGCGTTTCGAGCATCTGCAGGGAGGGCTTCCGGGACATTCTGGGCATGCGGAACAGCTAGCTGCGTCATTTTGCAAAAGCATTTTGGCACCAATTCTCTGAATGCCCTAAACCCTAAACCCTAAACCCTAGACCCTAAACCCTAAACCCTAAACCCGCGGATCATGGACCCTCAGGCCCCCTGCGAATTTCAGCACCTCGAACTCTTGGGCCTCAGGTCGAAGTTGCCGCCCAACTTGCACGCCGGAAGCTGACTATGGACCATGGGGGATGGCTCGTGTATCTACTGCTTGCTTAAGAACCCCAAAAGAAGAATAGTAATCCCTAATATGACCCTTATAAGGAAGATGGTTTGGGGGGGGGTTCTTAAGCAATTCATAGGTATGGGGTACTCGAAAGCCTGGGTAAGTTAATGTATTCAAGCAGTTCATGCCTGGACTCTGTTGTTATGCACAATCCGATATCGACCCTCAGCCCGGGCGCGCAGCCTGTCCCCTAAAAACTGTTCAGAGGTGCAAACGGGGAGAACGGCCGGCGCAGAACTCATCAGGGAAGGACAAGGTGGGGAGCGAAGTGCAGTAGCAGGACACAAATGGCGCGAATTCCGGAGCCATTTCAACCAACAGAGTGTCCCCGAGAGTATCGCGTCCAAACTCAGAAGCCCCCCCCCCCCTATCCGGGCCAGTTTCGGGCGTCAAGGCATCTGTTGCAAAAAAAGAACCCCGATTGTAGTAATCGTTCATGCATGTAATACCCCAAGGTGGCTTGGCTGCGGTGCGTCCGGCGGTGGTGAGGCATGGGCTTGTCGGATGCTGTAGGATGGATACGTGGAATACGTAACAATTACTACGTTGCACATTCTTTGGAGCGCTGCTTGATGGACCCTGTCCACACTTGCCTAAGCCCAAACAATCCGAAGGCCCGAGGTCCTTCGTTCAGCCCTTCAAGTTCGAACTCCTAAGCTGAAGAGAGACCGAGAGTGCAGGTCCCAGTCCGTGCCGACAGTAGCGCCTGCGAACTCGACGTTCCGCCGGCATGGTTGGGGGATGTTGGGGCATCTACATACAGATCTTGTTTTTTGCAAAGCTGTCATATTCTACAGCTTCTGCCATTCACGACGGGCTCAGTGGGAAGAGGCCAGCACAGCCTCCACGAGCCCTGCTGAAAGTCGAGGTTGTGCCATACGCCGGGGAACTCGGCTCTCAGCTTGATCGAGAACACTTGAAGGGAGCCCCAAAAAGGGTACCCCTACTCTCGAGGGAGTTAAGTGGGTGGGAAATCGGAGCGTCGGTGTCTGTCTGGCTATAAACCATGCGGATGGAGGACTGAGAAAGGCTTTAGGATGTCTTGTGTGCCCCGACCCCCAGGAACGGAATTGACCTGACGACATTAGAAATTATTACATAATCTGGAAAGCTGTCATGTCACTAAGAGGCTGTAGTAGGCAGGACCCTTCTCACATAGCCTCACAAAAACTCCAAAACCGATCCTGCCACCCTGCAAAAATCAGCATCTTGAGTCCTTCCTGCAGTAATGGACCCGCGGACACCTCGCACGCCTAAAGGTGCTGAATGTCGTGAATCGTACATCGCTAAAGCTGTCTAGCCCCATCGCTAGCATCTTGACTGAACGTAACACCCCTGCACAAGTTTAAACAACGCAGAACAAACAAATGGCGGTTTACGAAAACCAGAGTCCCCTAATTTTGACCCCAAATAGTAGGACTTAATAAGGTCCCCAAACCCCTAAACCCTAAACCCTAAACCCGCCCCCAAAAACCCTAAACCCCTAATTTTGGAAACCCCCGAATCGCCCAGGGCCGGTCGCGGTCGAAGCTCTTGGCACAGAGCCGCGGCTTGGACAAGCCTCGGCAGGCGGCCGCGGGGGCCCCCGAAGTGGGTTTGGTTTATGTTTCTTCCCTAAACCCTAAACCCTAAACCCTAAACCCTAAACCCTAAACCCTAAACCCTAAACCCTAAACCCTAATTTTTCTGAGTAACGTGCCTTTGGTTTTTCACAGCGCAGCTTGGGTGCAAGGACTGCAGGTGCAGTCTAAGACAACAAGCTGGCACAGAGCAAGGGTTGGGTTTTGGGTTTAGAGGGTTTACAGGGTTTGGAGGGTTTAGAGGGTTTAGAGGGTTTAGGGTTTAGGCAAGCGACTCAGTGTGATTATCGCTTATCAGGGCGCTGGTCATGTCTTGACGTGTGTGCCTTGCGTGAAGAGGCTTGATTCTTGATTCCCGAGGCATCTGGTTGAGTCCGTGTTTCATGGGACTTGCTTTATCGGGCAGTGCACTGGAAGTGCCCCCTCGAGGAGTTTCTCAAACGATCTTGCTCCCACAGAGAGTCTTCGCGCCCTCAAAACTCAATATTCACAAGGGCAGCTCTGAAGATAAGAATGGTGGTTCTGATTTCCGGGCCGATTTGGGAGTTTTCGGGTGGACTGCTACACTCATCCTTCTAAGCGCGAAGTAACAAAAATAGGGGAGATGGCTATTGCCAAGCACATTTACCTACGCATCCGGCAGTTTGACAGCCGTTTGGGGCTTGGGATTTAAACCCCAAACCCTAAACCCTAAACCCTAAACCCTAAACCCTAAACCCTCTGTATTTCTGTGGAGCCTTTCGGGGCCCAGGCTCCTACTCTGGCCTTGCCGCGGCCGACACTGGTATCCGAGGCCTCGGAATCCGGGTGGTTTCGGCCATGTTTAGGGTTGCTTAGGGTTTAGGGTTTAGGGTTTAGGGTTTCGGGTTAGGGTTTAGGGTTTAGGGTTTAGGGTTTAGGGTTTAGGGTTTGGGGTTTAGGGTTTAGGGTTCAGGGCTTAACCCTAAACCCTAAACCCTAAACCCTAAGGTTGCAGGCTTTAAGAGCGCAATCCACAGATCCAGGCACAGAACCCGCCCGATGTATACAAGGTTTAGGGTTCCCCACCCCCCCACCTTCGCCCCCCTCGCCCCTCCCCCCCCTTAGGGTTTAGGGCTTAGGGTTTAGGGTTTAGGGTTTAGGGTTTAGGGTTTAGGGTGCGAAGTTCATCAGAGAGTGTTTCGCAACACCTGCGTGAAGCTGTAGCAGGCCTCCTACACCTCCTACGTCCCTGTCTATGCTGAGCCCAGTGCCGCACGCAGCAGCTTCTTGGATGCAGTCGAACCCCGAACCCTAAACCCTAAACCCTAAACCTAAATCCTAAGCCCTAAACCCTAAACCCACTTCAACCTCCAGTTTCTTGCCATGGACCTTAGCAAACCACACAGCCCGCCAAAGAACAACAGGGATAGTTGCTGGTCATCATTCCATCATCTAGTTAGCATGGCAGGGCGAGGGCATAAAAGGATGGAGTTGTTGTCTAGTATAGGGTCTTTGGCGCTTGGCTTTCTGGCTGGGCAATGTCCCACCGAATGTCAAGAAGGTGGAGGTTTTCCTACGAAATCGAAGGGAACCGCCCTCACCCCTTCCAAAAGCCAAAGCAGAAAAGGAGAACCAAACAAACTCCACCCTTCCGGTACATCGAAGGGTGCCAAAGTTGCGGCTTCATTTCAGGGTGTATGCTGTGTCCCGAGGGCCATGTGCCATGTTTGACTCAGGCGTGGTAGCGCAGGGAGACGTTTGACATCTCATAACTACCCTTCTCCTCAAGCGAGAGAACCTTCCTGTTCAGGAAGGTTGATGTGCAGGCTTCACTCCTCTAATGATGGTCTGAATTCCAGGTCCCTCAGGCTCCTACAACCACGAGAGCAGTTATCCGGTGCTAAAGAAGGGAGAGAGTGAACAAAGTTCAACGCAAATTGTTGCTGAATGTCGGTGGTCTTGGGCCAGCTCAAGGCTTCAGCTTCAGGTTTCGCATCAGGGCTGAATGCCGCTTAGCCGCTTTTGCCCGGACAGTGAGTGTGTCATCGGGGCTCTTTCAAAAGCAGCTGAGTAAAGAGCTTATAAGAACCTAACAAAGTGTGAGCTGGGAGATTGCGAAGTTCGGAGACCGAGCTACAGGTCCACGCCCTGCGGCTGAATTCTGCGCTGAAGGAGCACGGTCGAGTGAGTGCACAGATGCGAAAGGAAGCTTGCCGAGATTCAAGCTCGACGTTGCGGCATGTGCGTTGCGCAAAGAGGGAGCCAATGTACGTAGGAGTCTATGTGTCGGAGGAATTGGAGCAGGTGGGGACGGTGGATAGGTCGCAACAACTGCCACCGACAAATTTGCCTGACCCAAAAAAGTGTCCTCTGAGTTGTAGTTACAAGGCATGGGTACATGGAGTTCTGAATCGCGTTTCTAATTTTTTTTGAGGGACACCTGAGGCTTCGGGAGCAGCTTGACTGGTGCATTGTGGGAATGTGACTCCACGAGATGGAGATGAATGCAGCTATGCCAAGTCGTACTTGGTGTTATTCAGGTGAATGCAACACATGTCCCATCGCCTGCCAAGTAAGTGAATGACACTAGTACCTGAAGCCGGCCCTCCGGTGACAGTGAGGAAACACGTACATTCTCACCACACACACACACACACACAACCGACATCACGCGGAAACTTCTGCCACAACACAA